TACAGTAGCATAACATAGACATCCAATAACTCGCAAGTGATCATATGATGGAGTTTTTCCATGAAGAACATCTAAAGGAGATTTCCATCAAGGAGTTTTGTGGGTGTTCGATTTATGAGATGAGCAGCGTTGAGAATGCAATCACTCCAAAAATGAAGAGGCAGATTACCATCAAATCATAGTGCACGAGCTACATTAAGAATGTGACGATGCTTTCTTTCCACACGTCCATTTTGTTGGGGTGTGTAAGTACATGATTGCTTATGAAAAATGTAAGAACCTGTACCGTTAATTAAGGAAATTAATCAGTTAATTATGAGTTTAATGAGATAAATCCGTAATTGACCCTAATAATTATTATGAGGCTCTAATAATTATAGTAAGTGGGTAATAATGATGAAAGTCGCTTTTTTGACGAAAAGTGCAGATACCGGTTCTGCTAGTCGGTATAAATGCGTGCCGAAAAAGTATCCCGGAAAATTATTATAAGTGCATGATAATTACTAGAATAATATGTAGGACTTGTAAAACGAGTTTCAAATTAAAATAATGAGAACTGGTACTGGCTATGAAAAGCGCATATCGGAAAGGTGCTCCAAAAAATATAAGAAAAATATGATAATTCTTGTAAAATTGAGTAGGTTAAGAATCCTGAGTTTGGGATTAAAATTCTAAGCATAGAAATTAAAGTTAATACTGTGTGTTAGTGACTTAAATCGCCTATATATTCAACTTATGGCACATAACCCTAGGCATGCTCAATTTCTCTACGTGAGATTTTCTGAGGTTTGGGCAGCCACCTTGTCACCTTCATCCTTCCTTCTCCATTAGAGCCAAGAGACCTCATTTCTTCTTGGTTCTTCCTCTAAAACTCCTTGTGTGGGTGTGCAATGGCTAGAGAGAGTGTAAGGTGTCTCCTTTTCTGAGTTTAGGGTGCTGTTTTATGGGGTTTGGGGTGCTGACTTGTTGGTGGTTGTGGTGAGAGCCATCTTCTTGGCTTGTGAAGCTTCAAGGAGCTTCCTTTGTGAAGAAAGGGCCAAGCTTTGTGGCATTTTCGTTTCCCTTTGCAAGTCAGAGTGTAGGAGCTGAAATGTGAGCTCTAAGGGCACCTCCTTGCTCTGTTTTGAGCGTGTGGTATGATCACCACCCTTGTGCTTGAGCTTTATGCTTAAAAATGGAACCTTGATGCATGTAATGAGCTAAGTTGACAACTTAAGGGTGGGTAAGGTTAAACACACCTAGAAATGCATGTTTAGACTTCTGTAATCGGTAAAAATGGTACCTTGGAAGGATATCTTCGCGAAATGCATAAACTGTATTCTGTCGTGAAATATCCGGATATGGTATCTGGATATGGATATGGGGATCTGGTATCCGGATATTGATATCCGGATATGCCCCCGACAAATATCCGGATATTCTGGGTTTGCGAGGAACAGTAGCTGTACTGTTCATACAGTAGGCTATTGGGGGTTTGTGGACCCTAGATTGATGAAGTTGAACTTCTGTAATAATCAAACTAAGTCAGAGACAATGGATTAAGGGCTTATGGCTTGGTGAGAAGCCTTAAGACATAAAACGTAAGAATTGCGTTGTCTTTGTGATGTATGCTTGTAGTGCATGTTTATTGATTTATTATTGGTCCATATCAGATTGTGATTCTGCTGTGTTTGGACTTTGAGGATTGGTTGGACTCTTGGCTTGGAGTGTTAGCTTGCAAGGTAAGCTTTCGTGTCCTCGGTTTATCCATGTTGTGGTTCCACCATGTCCCATGGGGGTATGGTTATATGCATGCTGTGTTACATGCTTTGGATATTTGAAATGTTGTTGAGCTTTATGTGTAATGGCTTTTAATATGCATGTGTTGTTCCATCTTGACGGTAAACCTGAGTATGTGGCGTCATACAAGACGGTGATCCGGGGTGGATGCAAGTGGCATCTTGCACTATGTGTGGGTATTTGGTGTATATAAATCCTGCATTTCTCTGGCCAGTAGAATAAAATTGACACACATAACATGATTATCTGCTGCATTGCACTATTTTAGAACTGATGATGATAAACTGCTTTTGAACTTATATTGCACATGTAAGTGAGCTTGGGGTGGAAGATCCTTGAGGACCCCTTGCCTTACTGAGATTTCTTGTTTAGAGATCTCACCCCACGTTTGGGGAATGCTTATTTCAGGTTCAGGTAGTATGGGGACTGATGCCTCTGGCGGCAGGAGGCCAAAGCTTAGTTGATGTTTAGTGTTGTTCATATTATGCTGGCATGACTGGATTGGATGCTATTTATGTTTTCTGTCATTTATGCTTATGTTGCTGTTGTTGAGACTGATGTTGGGCTTTGTTGCCTAATTTGGGTGAGCATGGGAGTTGTCCATGCCACTATGTTGTTAGTATTTTTGAGTTTAGTTGTATAAACTGTTAGATGGTCCTGTCTACGTATTGTAGTTCCGTGACTAGAGACTCATACTTATGTTATTTAATTAATGAGGTATTTCAGTTAGCTGTTTATTGCAATGTACATATAGGCGATGTTTTGAAAATGGTTAAGTAATCAAGTTGGTAATAATTAATGACATCATAATTGAAAAGAAAAAGATATTCTGCATTTTTAATTAAGCGCAACTTAATACGATAGTATGATAACATTACCGGATATATACGGGGTGTTACAAAGAATACCAAAATCTGCCAATAAAGTTTGCATCATAGATGACATAAATTCACTTCCATTATCTGTTTGAATGCTTTATACTGATGTTTGAAACTGAGTGGAAACCATGTTAAGAAAAAATCAAAAATGTGAATATGTTTATCCTTTATTTTGCATTAAAAATACCCACACATTTCGATTGTAATCGTCCACAATAGTCAAAAAATATTTAGCACCAGTGAAGGAGACAGTAGCATAAGGACCCCAGAGATCACAGTGAATTAAATCAAAGGCATACAAGCTGCGTATTTTATTTATTGGAAATGGACTACGAGCCTGTTTAGCTCTAGAACATACATCACAAAAACCAGCATTATTCGAGCTTGAAATAAAAGGAAGCAGTGAAAGATAATGTTGAGAAGGATGACCAAGTCTTCTATGCCACAAAGAGGAAGAATCCGAAATTTGTATTGCATTAGTGAAAATTGACGAATTCCTCAAGACATACACCCCTTCCTGCGCATCACCCCATCCAATCGTTGTCCTCAAGTGTTGGTCCTGAAATCAGGTTGCAGGTGAGAGATGGAACATATAGCACATTAGTTAGAACTAATGAAGAAGTTAATGAAACAGTGCCACTCTTTACTGCAGTTGTTCGATTTCCATTAGGCAAACCCACAGTACAAGGGGATATGGATTGAATATCAGATAAAAAAGCAATGTTACCAGTCATGTGTTGGGATGTACCACTATCAATAAGCCATGAAATAGAAGTATGTGTGTTACCAGAAAGCTTGTCAGATGACTGTTTAGAAGAATCAACCAGAGCCAACAATTGTTGAAGCACTTCTGGTGTATGGCTCGGCAAAGAGGCAATACCGGTTGTGGAATTTTCTGGTTGGGTGGTGATGGTGTGCATGGCTTGGGCAGAAGAGGCAGCATGACCGCGTCTAGTAAGAAGAATTCCGGGATTATCGGAAGGATGAGTGTAAAAGGGAGAACGGGGATCAGTAATTTTGAAATTTTTGCTTGAAGCAGCCATGGTTCTGGCTAGCAAAGCAAGGAAGGAGAAAGGCCTAGATCTTTTGGCTCATGATACCATAACAAGAATATTTGAAATATGTGACTTAATTGATTGAACAGCTAAAGGCTTGTTTAAATAAAGCCATGATACAAAGGAAAACCAAAACAACCTAACTAAAATCTTATCAGAATATTTAAACTATCCTAAAAATAATACAAAAGATTTACACTTATCAAGAATATTAACTAACAACTCATATCAGCTAACAAACAAAAGAATAACAAATTAATCTAACAGATTAATCTATTCGTTCTTATCCCAATACACTTCTGTTTATAATAATGCTTTAGACTACTTGAACATCAAACGGGTATTTGTGCATAATAATAGGTCACGATATACATAAAGGAAAAATTAACATATTAGAGGACACAACCTCACAAGTTTGATGGGTTTCAATCAAAGCAAAATAATGTAAGTAGTTATGGAAGTGGTTAACAGCCAAGCAAATATATCTATCAAAAGAAAAAGCTATTGATAGCTAGACCCTCCAATACAAATTAACTTAATATGAATATAATATAATGTATGGTTGAAATATCCATTTGAGGGGCCTACTGTTGTTGTCAATTAAAAATAGACTCATATCATTTTATAGTGATATAAAAATAAATTTATAACCAAATGATGGTAGCTCAGTTGCTAACAATAAAGCTGAGTAACTAAAAAAGAAAAAGGTCTTAGTTCAATTTATATTAAAATAAATTTAAGTGTATTTAACAGCTCTAATTTATCAATCACGTGAACAATTAGATATAAACAAGATAATGATTAAAATTGAAGAAATAACTTAAGCCACCATATCCCATTAAAAATAAATTCAAGGGCCTTCCTCATCAGACACTGACTTGCACATGATTTTGCTTCTGAATAGAGCACAAAAGTCGTAAGAGTAACAACACTCACAAGGTTTACTTCCAGCACAATTTATAACAGTTTTCTTTTGAGCAGGTTAAGTGATCAAATTCTTAAGAGTAATGGAAAATGTAAAAGAAAATAATATTTTGCTCCAATGAACTTGCCACAGGCTTATTTTACTTGTTGAAGATGACTAACCCCTTCTTCACTACTTCCACCTAACTTAGAATTTGACAAAAAATAATGGAAATCTCAAAACAAATTATAAGTTTCTTCTTTCTTGGACTAATTCAATCAACTAATCAAACAACCATTAACTTGCAGATTTTAGCTTCCTTTTAAACTCCTATAAATGGTGAAAAAGAACCAGTGCAAATTCAAACCAACATTACAATCTCCTTTCAATAATTAACCATGAAATCTTCAAGTGCATTAGCTGCTCTTGTGGTTCTAATCGTTCTTGCCTCAACTTCAGAGGCTGCAATTTCATGCAGTGATGTGATTAAGGACTTGAAACCTTGTGTGAGCTACTTGGTAAGTGGAAGTGGACAACCACCAGCTGCATGTTGCTCTGGTGCTAAAGCTCTTGCCTCTGCTGCATCAACCTCAGAGGATAAGAAAGCTGCTTGTAACTGCATCAAGTCCACTGCAAAGAGTATCAAAATGAACACACAATTGGCTCAGGCTCTTCCAGGGAACTGTGGAATAACCCTCTCCATCAATATCTCCCCCAATGCAGACTGCTCCAAGTAATAATCATAATGACCTTAATTTTAAATATTTTATATCTATCTTCTTCTTTTTTAACGAGGCAAGCCTTGAAGCAACGGTAAGGTTGTTGTTTGGATATCAGAACGTCAATGGTACAAGTTTGAAAATAGTATTTTTATAAAATATATGGGTTGCATACAATCAACTCTTGACTCCTACTTTCACAAGTCAGGAACCTTGTGCATTGAAATTTTCCCTTTATTTTATTTTTAATAAATATTAAATAAGTGATCAGATAGACACACAACAAATGATCCTTTTTCCCTTTACCCATTTGGATGCTTTTTTTTTTAAACCAATTTCTAAATTAATGATTTTTTTTTTTTTTTTGATATTTATTTGTTGCATCTTTTGCAGGGTTGGTTGAAACTTGGAAGTTGGAACTGGAGGGTGTTGCAGAGCATGCTGAACATTTTTCTGCTATATATGTATTGGAATATTAACTTATTTTGTAATAAACAGGAATCCACCTTTGTGGATTTCTCTATTATGTCGATGTTTTCAATATGTTGTCTGAATGTTGTTTTCAAATTACCTTGATTCTAGAGTCACTTGCGAACCCTTTAAATTTTACAAATGTATGTTCTTTCGCTATCTATGATGTTCTCTTGAATTAGTCCCGGTGTTTCACATTAATCTAATCTTTTAAAGATTTTATCATAAAATTAATTCCTCAAAAAATTTGCGTCTCACTACATAAATCTTCCAAAGATCATCACTAAATTATTCCCTAATGTGATAATATTTATTTTTTGAGAAAATAATATAAAAATAAAAATATTTAAAAAAGTAATGTACTGATATACAAATTAATCTTCAAATAACCATGCAGAGGTTTTACTCTTAAAATTATATAATAAATATCTAGATACTGAAAGCTAAACAAAAGAATAAACAAATTGTTATTATGGTCAAAACATATAAATATATTGTTATAAAGATAAACATTAATCTGAATAAAAACAAGGAATAACATATTAAAGGGAAAAATATAAACAATTTTACAGTTTATTTGGATGGACTTTTTTTTTCAAGAAATTATTTGTTTTTTATAAAATTATTTTCACTTTACGTATGTATTTAGATGTAACTTTTGAAAAAAAAAATTAAATTGGGATTTCTAACTTCTAAAAAAACGAATATACTATTTTTAGATATTGATCTAAATATAAAATAGTTAGGACTTAAAAGAATTCCTTCAAAAAATACAATGCATAGAAATTTATTTTCTAAAAGCTCATTTAAACGGCCCATAATCTAGTTCAACTTAATATTGAGTAAATAAAAAATACATATTAAGTAATTATTTGATGTTTAATTAAAATAAAAATAATAATTATTTGGCAGGTCCTAATATATAATTTATTTATTTGTTTGGCGAATGTCCTAACATATAATTCTCCTTATTCTAATATGACTTTCAAATCCTGTTATCTCTACACCCTTCTTCCCAACCCAAAACATAAGTCCTACCCTTTTACTTTTCGTTTGATTAGTCATACCAATCACTATGGTTGGTTTGTGTTGCCCAAGGCATTAAGCCATATATATGTGGTTGATTCCAACTTAAACACTTGTTAGGTAGGTTAAATCTGAATACCCTGTTATTGAAGACAGTGGGTGATATTATATCATTAAGAGATTTGAACCCATGTAAAGAACATAAGGGATAGATAATCGAAATTATCACTATGCAATTATAAAAATTAAAAAACAGACTTACTTGATATGTATTAGATAGACATAATCAGAAGAATGAAAAATGCAGTATCAGAGGAATAAAATTTGAGCCCACATAATGTGTCTCTTTAAGACAATTTGCCCACTTATTAATGCCAAAGGTTGGTGGACACTTGTCTCCCAGGATAGAACGGATTTCGTCTGAAGAGTGGCGGCACTACCAGTCAACAGCCCAAACGAACACAACTAAATGCCAGAGGAAATCACACCGGAGTATGAACAGGAATATGCAAACCGGAAGGGAAAAATTGTGAAACTTAATATTAAAAAAATGATTAGTTGACCTATTTCAAAATTTGGGCTCAACTAAACCAAATAAACCCCTTAAAAGTAGAGAAAAGGGTTTGTCCTTTTAAAGGACATAACCTTGTGTCCTTTTAGTTTTTGACACTATCTTTTAATGGTAAGACATAGTTATAATATGAAAAATTGCTTTTCTTTTTCTTTTTCGTCAGTCACTTCAGCTGACGTGTAGAGAGAGAAAATAACTTTTCATGAAAATAGCTTTTTATGTTATAATTATGTCTTACCGGTAAGACATAGTGTTAAAACCTAAAAGGACACAATTTGTGTCCTTTAAAAGGATACACACTTAACCCTTGAAAGTAACAAACATGAAACCAAATGAATAACAAGTCTATAGTTATGGAATATGAAGGTCCATTAAAGTATTGTGCTTTGGGTTATTGGAAACACAAAAAATAGTCAAAAATCTAATTCCCAAATGTGAACATTCCTTTGTGCTTATGGCTGTTGAAAACAAGGGATTGAAAATTTAAGGATTGAGATAATGAAAGAGGAGACGAAAGACAATGCTTATTATACATATAATTATTATATATGTGTGTTTTCATATCCTTAGGACAATGTTTGGTTCATGATATATTATGTTGTGGGAGGAAAGTGAAATTCTTATGTTTGAAATGCTTACCGAAAATGTTAGTGCATTTTTATATATTTGATTTGATATATAATTAATGATAATTGTTCATTTGAATTTTCAATGCTATGTGATATTATTTAGTACATAATTTTGATAACTATGCTAGAATTCATAGTAAATTTTTCTCCTGATAGATAAATTTATATAATTATGATAAGTATTTTAATAATTTAATATGTGAAATTTTCTGGCACCACCTAAATTTTCGGGCTAGCTCCGCCACTGCCTTTGAACCTTCTCTAATGAAAACCTATCGGATATACTCGTTCAATCGGTGATCTAGGTCGACTTGAATCGTCAACCTTTAGTGTATACCTAGACAATAGGAGTCACACAATTTGTTCTCTAGCATTGTTGGTCCTTTGTTGTGCCCATTTTGGCCGTGGGACACCTGCCTCGTTCTGTGAGTGTTTTAGAGAATCGGACTTTGAAAAATTCTCATAAATACACTGTCTTGTGATGTAACTCACTATACATCATCTGAACACAACAGATTAAGAAATCATTAAAAGCCTAAGTGCTTACCCTCATAAATACATTGTCTTGTCATAGGAATGAGTATGAGTTTAAAAACTCTACAGTGTTTGAACAGTCGACCATCACTTAGTTATCTCTTTGAACCTAGTTCATGGGATCTCCACTTTTCTAGGTAGAGTTACCGCAATGCTCAACAATTGACAGGCCTTAAACCCATTCCTTTTGACAAATGTTCAACCAACTCTCTAGGAATCCCTTTGGTTAACGGATCCGCTATGTTCTCTTTAGACTTAACATAGTCAATTGTAATGATTTCATTCGAGAGTAGTTGTCTAACGGTATCATGTCTTCGACGTATATGTCTAGACTTACCGTTATACATGACGCTCTTGGCCTTTCCAATAGCTGTTTGGCTATCACAATGTATGCACACGGCTGGTATCGGTTTTGGCCAATTAGGAACACCCTCAATAAAATTACGAAGCCATTCGGCTTCTTCACCGGCCTTATCTAAAGCAATAAATTCTACTTCCATGGTTGACCTTGCGATGCAAGTCTGTTTGGACGATTTCCAAGACACAAAACCTCCACCAAGGGTGAACACATATCCACTTGTGGATATAGTGTCATTAGAGCCGGTGATCCAATTTGCATCACAATACCCTTCTATAACTGCGGGGTATTTCTCATAATGCAAAGCATAATTTTGAGTATACTTCAAGTATCCCAAAACTCTTACCATAGCTTTCCAATGATTTTCATTTGGATTACTGGTAAAGTGACTTAACAGACTTACTGCATAAGCAATATCAGGTCTGGTGCAGTTCATAACATACATAAGGCTTCCCAACACTTGAGCATATAGCTTTTGTGTTGTAGCTTTACCAGTGTTCTTTAATAAACTAATATTAGAATCTACAGGGTTCCTCACAGGAGTTATATTCAAACTTTTGAATTTCTCAAGAACCTTAGCTATATAGTGAGCCTGTGATAAGGCCAACCCTACAGATATTCTATGGATTTTAATACCTAGGATAACGTCTGCTATCCCCATATCTTTCATATCAAACTTACTTTTTAAGTAATTGTTTAGTAGCATTAATCATTTGATTATTACTACCCATGATCAACATGTCGTCTACATAAAGACAGACAATGGCAAATCCTTTTTCAGTATTTCGAACATAGACACATTTGTCACATTCATTAATTCGAAAACCATTTGATAACATAACTTTGTCAAATTTTTCATGCCATTGTTTTGGAGCTTGCTTTAACCCGTAAAGGAATTTTATTAAGCGACAAACTTTTCGTTCTTGTCCTAGAACAACGAAACCTTCAGGTTGTTCTAAATATATCTCTTCTTCCAGGTCGCCGTTTAAGAAGGCGATCTTAACATTCATTTGATGTATCTCTAATCCATTCAATGCAGCTACCGCGATCAACATCCTAATGGATGTGATCCTTGTAACAGGTGAATAAGTATCGAAATAATCGAGACCTTCACATTTCCTGTAGCCTTTTACCACAAGCCTTGCTTTATATTTATCAATAGTGTCATTCTCTTTCATTTTTCTTTTGAACACCCACTTACTTCCTAAAGGCTTATTGCCAGGAGGAAGGTTTACCAATTCCCAAGTGTGGTTGGACAGGATAGACTCTATCTCACTATTGATAGCCTCTTCTCAGAATGGTCCTTCCGGGGACGTTATAGCTTCCTTATACGTCCGAGGCTCATTTTCTAATAAATATGTCATCAAATCAGGTCCAAAGGATGTGGCGGTCCTTTGCCTCTTGCTACGTCTAAGTTCATCTTCTACATCCTCTACAGGATCAGTATCAGTTGTAGCATCCCGAGGTATCGCAACCTCATCATCATTATTACCACTTGATTCATGTATTTTCTTATACGGAAATACGTCTTCAAAGAAAGTAACTTCCCTTGACTCAATAACCGTATTAACGTGTATATCTGAAACATCATATTTATAAACTAGAAATCGATAAGCACTACTATTAAGTGCATAACCGATGAATACACAATCCACGGTTTTAGGTTTGATTTTCAACCTTTTGGGTTTAGGAACCGCAACCTTAGCCAAGCACCCCCACACTCTAAAGTATTTTAGGGATGGCTTCTTTCCTTTCCATATGTCATATGGTATGTTATTTGTCTTTTTGTGAGGCATTCTATTAATATGTAGTTAGCCGTTAAAATGGCTTCCCCCCACAAATTCTGTGATAAATCGGACGTAATCAACACGGCATTCATCATCTCTTTCAATGTCCGATTTTTCCTTTCTGCAATCCCATTTGATTGCGGTGAATATGGAGCTG